TGAGAGACAAGAACAGATAATAATCAGGAATGGGAAAAGATTGCCTGCATCCTGTTGTTGATGATTATGTATAAGCAGCTTTGCTGTGTTTTCTCAGAATTCTAAGAGTTTTACCTTGGAAGTTAGTGATGGAAAAGATATCTGTAAATATTTAACAAAATTTTTGAATAAGACTTTTGAACAAACCTTTTGCTTTGGCCAGAATTTCATATACGTGATAAAATTAAGGTATCACAGTTCCTTATATCCAGATTCAATCCGTCAGACTACAGTGCATAAGTATATATATATACTGTACACATTGGTAAACGTGCACAAACACACGCAACCCTCCCAAACACACAGTGTAATACCAGAAACTTCTCACCTATTTGTATCTAACTTTAATCATGTACAAAGATGTTCATTTGCATATATGTTTATAAATATCTGAATACATAAAGAACCAGCTTATAATATGTGCAAGCGCTCTAAATTGTGCTGATTTTAGCCCCATGATGGTCATGGTAAGATCAGTTGTCCATGGATATAACTATTTTTAGCAAATTCAAATTCAGAAACATTCAAAACAAATGTATTAGAATACATGGCAACGATTATGATCTTACCAGTCCATGGAGAGGAGTGACTTGACCTCAGTGACTCTACACAATTAAAACCATTATGCAAGTACACAAGTTTTGTACCTGCCATCTATCCAGGGATTAAGTGAGCTTATCTCAGCCTGTTGGGATACAAATACAAACCATTTTTTCATTTCTTACAGGAATGTCATCCTCAGCCAACTGAGGTGAGAGGCTGTCCATTCACATCAACAAATGCAGAGGATGTTTCTACATTAATCAAGAAATTTGTCCCTCACAGCACAAATATTCTGGACAACGTAATGAAGGAGGTGGTATTAGGCAGAGCGAGTGCTGCCTGTCAGTTAGTATTTGCCTTCCAGGTGTTCATGCTCAGACAGAGCAGTCATAATTGGGAAACTGAAACTTCCAATAAGGTGACAAGTAAATATGTACCTGAAAAGGAGAACGATTGTAAGAGTTTAAATCTTGTTGAGCAAGGAAAAGACTTTCAGGATATTTCTATGCTTACAAATAAAGATAATGGAAAATGGAAATCAAAACTAGAATTATCAGACTTTGGCAGTAAAGATTGCTGTAGACATGATGATACAAGGACTGTGATGAGATCAGAAAACATCAAACATGACTGCAAGTGTAAAGAAGACTGCAGGTCTTGTCAAAGTTTTAGCACAGCCCCAAGAGCTAGGTCAGAACACCCCAGAGAAAGCAGAGGTATTCCGTCGTGTGACATTGAAGATCTAGGTACTCTCCTGCCAGCCTGCAGTTTCACAAGACCCTCTCATTACTATTTGTCTATGAAGCAGGAACAAGGTTTAATACACAGTAACAATTTGTAGGAGAAGAGGTCCTTAATCTGATTCTGCTTTTTTGCTCATTTATTAACAGTTTATATAATACATTTACTTTTTATGGTGCATGTTGACACAGGTTTTATGTGAACCAAAGACTGTTTAGACAGTATAGGGTTAGGATTTGTAGTTTTTAAAGATGAATATTTAAAGAAAAATGGAGAGAAAAGGTTAACTTTGTTCATATTTAACTTTTACTTAATTCAGAACTCCTATTTTCCATCAGTTCTTAAGAGTTTTTTTTTCTAGAATCTTGTTTGTGATAGCTTTAATGTGATATATTGATGTGCCTTTTAGTGTCTGCCTTTTTAAGGTGGTGTACAAATACTTTGAAATGCCGTTAATGTAGACAGCACCTTACCATCTTTTCCTAAAACTAATGAAATGATGTGCCCATTACTGAAGAGCATTTATGTGTTAGGTGGAAATTGAATGATATCTGATGAGGATGAATATTGAGATTTGTGGGACTCTGTGCCTACTTTTAGAGTACAAAGCATGTATATATTATTTATAATATTACTCAGTAATATATATTGGTATATTCATAATTGCTGATATTGATACAGGTTTTACTATTTCTGTCCAGTATCATTTTTTATAAAAAATGATGTAATAAGGAGATCATTTCTCTTTTGGCGTCTGCTCGTCTAATATCTGTATGGTGGAACAACATTTAAGTTACCCCTGACACACCGATGGGGAGCCTCCAGGGAGAATTTTGCAAATCAAGGGATGACTCTTATAATCTTGCAATGCCATTGAATATTGTAACAAAATTTCTCCTTTATAATGTGTTATATTTATACCTACACTTGATATTGACTTTGTATTATTTCAATGATATATAAGTAAGGTTGCTGACTTTTAAAAAATGTCTGCTATATTTTCTATAAATTGCTGACACTTTTGTATATGAAAGCTATGTATGTAATGTATACTGGAAGTTCGCAACGAAGTTCAGTTCACTCGGATGTTGATGCATTGGTACAATCTTACAGTGGCACTGTCTTTCCTGAACTGTATTTAATTATAACAAGTACAAATGAATATATCAAGATGGAA